TGAAGCATTAGCACTGTTAGTATGAAGCATTAGCACTGTTAGCATGACGCAATAGCGCTGTTAGCATGTGCTGCTTTTCCATCCTCACCTCGTAGCCTTTGAGCGAGGGTCCGACCAGGATGATGGGTCTCATGGAGGGAACCACGTCGTAAGGAGGAACGTGCTCCATCTGAGGCAGAGGAGGGATCAGGGTGAGCCATGTTGTCGTGTTTACACACACACACACACACACATGAACACGCACGCACACACACACAGGTCAGGGGTTACAGTCATGCAGGGACGCCTCAGAGGCTGACTCGGTGTGTTTCATCAGTTCAGAACCGGCCTCCGTTTCCCGGTCTGCCGCCTCGCGTTAATGAAGCGTCTGTAATTAATCCAGACGGCGGAGTGTCAGGAGAGCTGCTGCTCTTAACACAAACGTCACTCTTCGTCTTCGCACCTCTCTCTTTTTAGGAACTGTCAAAGGATTGTTGGCAGCCGAAGGGTTGTCACAGCACAAACACTGAATTACAACCACAGAGCTAAAAACACTCCGAACGGCTGCGCTTTCTTGTAATCCTTTAATTCTCCGGCTCATATTCTGTTCAGTCATGATGCAATGTGTGTGCAGACAGAATGTGAAGGGTCAAGACAAAAACAGTCCTTCAAGCCCTCTTTAAAAAACAGCTTGTTCACTAAAATGTTATTAAACATCTCAAACTGTTATTTTTTATAGATTTCATGACAGATACGGGAACTAATTGTGCGTTTATGGGAAAAAAGGCGCAACATTCTCTTAGTTTTCCGTTATTTGTCCACAAATTATTGTTTCATCCTTTGTCTTCAACATAAAAATTTTAAAAACCCTCTAAAAATAGTCGAGCTCCAGACTGTAAATGAGTGGAAGGTCAGCTGAAGTCCAAAGAAGTGCTTTAAAAGACTCTGAAAACCTGAAAAGTGTTTGATTACCATGTTTTTCAGACTATAAGGCTCACTGTTGATTTCTGAGACAATTAAAGGATTTTAAGTGCGGCGTCTGAAAAATACGGTAAGAGCAGAAAGTCTGGCTCTGTCATGCAGGGAGGCTTTTTCACATTAATTTACTTTTATTAAATATTGTTTTAAATGTGCAAACACCTAACCACTGTACTGTAAACAAGTTTAATAATGAGAATAAAGTGGCTCTCCAAACACTTCAAACCCGAACTACACCTGGATTCCTAAAAGATTTGTGTCCCGAATTCTAGTTTTTATAGCTTTAAATTAAATATATACATCTGGTGTAAAAACAACTAAACAAAGAGCGCTTAACACCAAACAATTTTAACAAAACTTAAACTGAACACCCACACTTAAAGACAACCCACATTAACTCTACTAATTATGAATTAATCATCTGATGACGTTCATAAAAACATCAGGAATGAGTTCAGTTCGGGTAAAAAAATAATAAAAAAACCATCACGGGTACGTCCAACAATCGATCAGAGTGTTTCTGTAAAACGCTCCAGGCAGCAGGAAGAACTGAAGTGACCCGCTGATTACATCAAATCTGAGCCGCTGAGGCTCGTTCACCTTATTTATATTCACAGGAGCCAAAAATACTTCATTTAAAAGCTTCAGAGGGCTCTCAACGAGGGCAGAGCTGGAGAACAGATCATGACGGCGCTCCTGAGTCGCTCGAACGCACAATTCGGAGAGGTGAGTAACAGGAGGGATGTGCACGCCTCGCTGAGTCAGAAACTGCAGTATTTATAGAAATACTGTAACAACATGTACCCACTTGGTCATTTTTCATTCTGTTGTTACAGCGATATTTGATAAAAAGCAATAATTCACCAAAAACACTCCAGAAGGGAAGAACAGGAGAGAAGAAACAAAATTCTCCACAACGTTGTGAAGTCGTACGGATCTGGGTTGGGTTAGAAAAATATCCTAAACCCACAACATCCCACAGAGAAGTGTTAAATCCATTATTAGGGAACCAAACGATGCTTGTGAAGCGGCTGGGATGAGAATCAGCCCCTCCAGATCTGAGGCCGTGGTCCTCAACCGGAAACGGGTGGACTGCTCTCGTCAGGTCGAGGGTGAGGTTCTGCCTCAAAAGGAGGAGTTCAGCTATCTCAAGGTTTTGTTCACAAGTGAGAGAAGAATGGAGCGTGAGATTGGCAGACAAACTGGTGCAGCGTCTGCAGTATTGCGGACTCTGTGCCGGTCCATTTTAGTGAAGAGGGAGCTAAGCTGTAAGGCAAAGCTCTCTGTTTGCCACCAAAGTCCATGCTCAATAATCCAGGTATAAAATCCAACAATGTTCAGTGAAGTCATCTGGATGTTTCTTGTTTTTTGTGCTGAGATGTTTTGCCCTCCATCCAGAAGGCTTCATCAGTCTGAGAAAACACCAAAAAAAAAAAAAAAAAAAAAAATTCTCCCCCAATAGCCTTTTATTTCCCACTTTGAAGTAAGCTGTTGGGGACCAATCAGTTTTGTTTGGTGTTTCCTCAGACTGATGAAGCCTTCTGGATGGAGGGTGAAACATCTCAGCACAAAACGCTGACTGAACATTGTGGGACTCTGTTTACCAGTCAGTCTACGTTCCGGATGGATGGATGGATAGATGGATGGATGGATGGATGGATGGATGGATGGATGGATGGAAAACCATGTTTCCACCAAAGAAACCTGCCAAGAGAGGTTGATCTACCAGAAGTCCCGGAGCTCTTGTACCACTGGAGGCTCCTCAACGGGCTTCATGGAAGAGCAGCAGGAAAAAGACTCAAAGTATAAAAATCAACCGGACTGTTTGGAAGGTGCTGTGGTCAGGCGAGACCAAACATTCAAGACAACGCCCTGTCCGAAGCAAACAGCACCACATCATCAGAACACCATCCCTACAGTGAAGCACGGTGGCGGCAGCATCATGATGTGCGGCTGGTTTTAATCAGCAGGGACTGTGAAACGGGTCGGAGTTAAAGGAAAGACGAACGGAGCTAAATACAGAGAAGTTCTTGGAGTCTTCCAGAGATTTAAGACTGGGAAGGAGGTCCACCTCCCAGCAGGACGATGAGCCTGAATCAATGTTCCACTGGTTTAAGGAGAACCAGTTAAAGGTCCTGGAGCGGTCCAGTCAAAGGCCAGACCTCAGAATCTCTGGCTTGATTTAAAGATTGTTAGAACCATCCAACCTGAAGCAGTTTGGTCTCGAAGAACGGACAGAAAGTCCAGATTAGAGGGACCCAGACCACGGAGACGGACCTGAAGAGACCTGCTACAGAAGAGGCAACACAAAATACTGAATCTTACGGGTTTGAGCCCAATCCATTTTTCAGTTTTATATTTTTGAGACTTATATAAAACAACATTTTTAGCTTCATTAATCTGGAGTATTTTCTGTAGAATTATTGATTTTCATCAGTTTAAAAATGGCGATAAAAGTCCAAGTAAGGCAACAAAACAAAAATTACCATTGGATTAACACGTTTGCGAGTTTCTGTAAATATGTGGAAATTTAAAGTGGTGGATTAGCTCAAACTGGATTTATTACTGGTTATAAATCACTGAACTTTATGATCAGTAACTTTAGTGGTTCTCCTTTTTGTTTCTTGTCTTTTACTCAGTCTAAACTCAATTTCTCTCTACTTCCTTTCGTTTTGTGGCCAACTTCTCAAAAACTCTTCTGTATAAAATGTATAAATTTAGCTCCCGCTGCAGAAACAACCACCATTATGGCGTCTAATGAGCGGAAAGCACAGCTGATGGGCTCAAATAGGCCGTTAGAAATGGAAATGAAAGCGTCAGGATGCATGACAGTCTCACTCTGCCGGACAGGGCTCGAGACCGATCTGCACGCTGACAGCTGTGAAACAGGCTCTGGGTCTGGTGGTGGTGATGGTGGGGGTGGGGGGGTTGTGACAGAGCCACCATGGTTTACGTGATTCAGAGAAAATAGTGGCTTCGGTTGGCACTCGGAGGCACGAAGAGTTGAGCGACCTCCACAAGAGACACAAGTTAAAGGTACTCGCTGCAAAACATGAAGCCAAACGTAAAACGGTCTTCCTGAGCTAAATGCTGCAGCTGGAAAGAGCTCTCTCCAGATGTGCTGATTTGCAAAGCCTGATTCTTGTGATTGAACTACATCAGCCAACAAGAAGTTTGACCAATTTCCAGCCACTTCGGCTGTTTCTGTAGGTAAAAGATACGGATTTTTAATTTAAAGACACGTTAACCGTCATTCTGTTTCTTCGTGGTGGTTCTGGTCCGGTTTTCACGACATTGCAATATGTTCCTATAACGTTAGTATTGAGAACAAACACTCACCGACTTCTGCTTCTGTTTAGCCGGACCACCTACAGCATCATTCCACAGAAAAGCCAAAAGAGACAAAAACAACAAAAAGCACAAAAACAGGAGCACGTTTAGTCACCGACAGGTTAAAGTTAGAGGAAACAATCAGCCGACGAGCTGGTTACTGGTTCTTCCACAGGCTGCTTCCACTGAGCGTTTTTTTAGTTTTAAACACGGATGTTGAGCAGCGGCCACTTCAGGGCCCGAACAGCTGATTTTAGCAAACAAACACGTCTCAGGAGCCAAACAGGGTTAGATTCAGGAGCCGGGGAGGTTAAGTTGCGAGCTGTTAGTGAGAAACTGGGAACAGTGGGAGAGGTTACACCTGATCACATCCAGGATCAAGTTCAGGACAGAGGAGGGGGGGTAGGAAGACCTGGAGGACCCCTGTTACCTTCTTAAAGAAGGGCAGCCGGTGGGCGTTGGCCTGGGGGGATATTACACTGCCTGACATGGCCTTGGGGGAGCGAGGGTCACCCTGGGACTCAGGGGGCTCCTCAGCATCCAGGTCAAGGGTTTCAGCGTCAAACCCCCCTGTGGACATGTCCACGTGAGCTGAAGATGGTGGGGGACGGACACAGAACAGAAGAGGAGAAAGCAAAAAGAGGAACATGAGAGACGGGAGACGACAAAAGGTTCGATTTAATCTGAAAACAGCACCGAGAGGTGTTTGAGAGAGAACAGCGGATCGTCAGAAGACAGATGTACGGTGGCCCTGAGGTGTCAATGAACAACATTTGAAAAAACAGAATTACACGAAGCCAAAGCAGAAGTGGGCGAAATCACATTTGAAAAAAAAAAATGGAATTACATTTGAAAAAATTTAATTATATTTGAAAAAACGGAAGTACTTTAAGCCGAAGCGGAAGTGGCCAAAGCAGAAGTGGGCGAAATCACATTTGAAAAAAAAAAAAAGGAATTACATTTGAAAAAAAGGAATTACATTTGAAAAAATGGAATTATATTTGAAAAAAAAACAAAAAAAACCCCGGAATTACTTTAAGCCAAAGCGGAAGTGGCCGAAGCAGAAGTGGCCAGGATCACATTTGGAAAAAATTGAATTACATTTGAAAAAACAGAATTACATTAAGTCAAACCACCTCAGGGCCACCGTAATAAAATAAAAAACAAAACAAACAAAAAAAAAACCCACCAACCCCACCCCCTCCACCATCACCATCACTTCTGGCTTGACTCAATGTAATTATGCTTTTTCTCTGAACACTTCCGCTTCTGGAACTTCCGCTTTGGCCACATGTAATTCTGTTTTTTCAAATGTTGTTCATGTACACCTCAGGGCCACCGTACAGACGTGAGGCGGAGGTGAATTGAACTCAACAACTCGTGAAAGACGTGAGGAAGAGAGGAGCTGCAGGAGAAACGGAGACAAACCAGACGGTAAGAGAAGGAACCAGGCTGATGGGGTCTCGGTTTGTGGAGCGAGCTTTAGATTCTGAGAGACAAAGGTGATTAACGACGAGTGATTTATTCTTCTTACAAAGACTTGAAACCGGAGGAGCAATCCTGTTAGCGTCCAAAAAGGACACAGGAAGCCTGTGAAGTTGAAACTTAACGCTGCTGCAGGATGAGTTGGACCCCTGAACGAACGTTTCCTAAAATGAGAAAAGTTTCACTTTGAGTGATCTTCATCACATCTTCATCCCTGGAAGATTTATCGTGTGAACAGCTAGTTCTGGATGTCAGCAGCAAACTGGTCGATCCACTATGCTAGGTGCTATTTATAAGACTGAGTTTATTGCAGCTCCTCAGACTTTTGGACAAATGTTTAAACAATTTATTATTATTATTATTATTATTTTAATCCATCCAGAGGACCTGACTTAACTTTGTTAGAGTCACAGAAGAAACAGCAGAGCAAACATACTGTATATAT